AGAAGCCAGTTACTGTTTCCATGACTGCTCCTCAGGCAGCCAGACCGATGCTGGGGCTCAGTTCAGAATCTTATTTGTTCCTGCTCTCCTGCTCTCCTTCCGTCTGTTTTGTTTTGTGTTTTTGCAGTGCCCTATCTTAGTCTGGTTAGGGGCACAAACACTAAAGCCTGGCTTCCTGGGCTTATAATCCTCGCTTGACTACCTACTAGCTAGGAGAACGTGGCAAATCACACATCTCTGTCCTCATCTCTCTGCTCGTCCTGAGTCTCAATCCAAAGAATAGGCATCCCCAGTTTTAGCCCCTCCGGGAGCGTGAGCATCCCAACATAACCAGTTTGAGACTGTGCTCTGAGGCAGGTTCTTCTTCAGTGTAGTTTACTTTTTCCTCGGCCCCGCAGCCCTGCACCGAGACCCGTCTTGGCCGGAAGCACGGTAGTAGATCAGTAAATTTTGTTTTATGTATTTCCTCACAATTTAAAAAAGTAATGGTAATTGAAGAAAGGCAAAACTCAAGTTCAATGTTCTTTTATTACCAACAAAACAACTGAGTATCTGCAAAATGTCTGGTAGAAAAGCTTACTTCACAACTCCACTTTCAGGGGCCAGGGAGATGGTTCAGTAGAATAAGTGCTTGCCTGGTAAGCGCAAGGGCCTGGGTTTAATCCCTGGTTACCCCAAAACTTCAGAACTCCACTTTCACTTTATATATATTTTCCTCAAGCAATTATTTTAACACATCAGCTTATCTGTTTTTACTTGCCCCAGTCTAACCATTTAATGGGAACGACAATATTCTTTAGAATGGGGTATAAATTTGAAGGTTTACTCACAATGCTTTCCACTGAGTGACAAAAATCAGTATTTGTTGTTTCCATATAGGCTTGTAATTTCATTATAAAGTAAGAAAAAACATTTAAAGAGACCTGTTTTTGTGAAATAACTACTAAAAACACCGTGGAAGCCAGGCATGGTGTGCAAATCCAAAATATATATGAAGAAAATGGTCTGGGGAGGGCCGGCCAAATAGCTCACCAGATTAAAGTGCCTACAAGCAGGCACAGGGGCTGGGGGTTCAATCCCCAGGCCTGCCATGCTGGCCCCACCCCCAGGGCATGCTGAGATGGCAATTGACACTGGGTGTGGTGGTGCACACCTATAATCCCAGCTCTTGGGAGGTTGTAAACAGGTGGCTCATTATGAGTCTGATTCAGTAGTGAGACCCTGAACACCCTACCCTATAGACCCTTCCCTAAAATAAAAAAAATAATAATAAAAAGGTCTGGAGGGATACAAAATACTCAAAATATTAAGAATCTCCATTCTATGAGAAAATACTGGGATTTTTGTATAGTATGTTTTTGTGCAATCCCAAACATCACAAATGTTACAAGAAAAGCAGCTGTGTGCCCATGTTTCTCACCTAGGTGTAGCGTGGCAGCCAGCAGGGCATGGATGTAGACTGCAAATTGGGCCCGGATCCACTCATCACCTCCTTCCCAGCCTGTGCCATCCAGGAAGACATCGTCTCGATTTTCCGTCACATGCCTCACCAGATAATCTGCAAACCTGAGGTCTGCAGTGGTCGGGTGAAGCAGCTTCCTGAGTTCTGGGTCCTGGATCTGGATCAGAGCTTCTTCTACCTAGAGGACACCCAGGTACAAGTCAGAGCCTGGGCATTCAGGCAGATATCCACGCCACACTTTAAAGAGTAACTACTGGGAAGTTGGAGCTGGAAATAAAAAAATATGAACAACAGCACTCTCAAAAGGTAAGTCTAAAAAAAGACAGGTTTTTACACTAAAGTTATTTCGTTTTCATTTAAAACATTTTTTTTTTTTGCTTTTGAAGAAAAAATATATATACGTACACATTGTTTTGAATTAGAAAAGTAATTTATATTGATTTTTTAATTTTTTGACTTTTTGAGACAAGGTCTCAATACACAGTTCAGGCTGGCCTTGAACTCTCTTTGTAGCCCACGCTGACCTTGAACTTGAAGTGATCTTCCTGGCTCAGCCTCCTGAGTGCTGGGATTACAGGTATGTGCAACCATGCCCAGCTATTGTATTCTGGAAAATACAGATACATGGTACAGTAAAATCACCTTTATCTTACCCACAGAAATGAATTAAGTATAAATCTTCAAAAGTTTTCCTTTTAAATGGATACTTTAGAATATTCATGGGCTGGCCAGATAGCTCACTGGAGTAAAGCATTTGCTTAGGCGGGCACAGGGACTGGGTTCAATCCCAGGGGTGCCCTGCTCATGGGCTGGCCGGATAGCTCAGTGGACTAAAGCACCTGCTTAGGCAGGCCCAGGGACTGGGTTCGATCCCAGGGGTGCCCTGCTGGACCTGCCCCCAGGGGCCACCAAGAGGGTGACTGAGACTGGGCGTGGTGGGACGTGCTTATAATCCCAGTGCTTGGGAGCCTAATGGGAGGATCACTACAACTTTGATCTGTGTAATGAGACCCTGTACTCGATACATTAAAAAAAATAATTAAAAATAATATTCTTATGATTCAGAGAAATATACATAACTTACATATTAATTTTGAAGTAAAGTAATAAATATTCATGAGCCTTCCCAAACCTCTCCAATAGAATGGACCAATGTTGCCATCTGCACTTCCTGTCCTGGATGGTATATACATTTCTCCTTTCTCAAATTTGAGATCAAAATAAATGTAAATTCAAATCTTGGATTTTTCATTCACCATATTATAACCATTTTCCCACAAAGCCTGTAGTTTGTGTCAGAAACTACAAAAACTTGATGTGACTAAAATTTCTTATTTTATTTTATTTATTTATTTTTTTGCGGAACCGGGGATTGAACTCAGGTACTTGCTCTTGCCAGGGAAGTGCTTATTCCACTGAGCCATCTCCCCGGCCCCAAATTTCTTTTTTTAAAAAAAATTACTTTTAATTATAAAATTATTTAAATTTTTAAATATACCAGTAAGCTATTAAATATGCAATCTTAGCTTAATATTAAGAGAGTATTAAATAAGCTAAAAAGACTGAAATTATTTGAACAATAATTTTAATAACCATGAGATTATGGTCTGCTCATATTGCTCTGTTTGGAGTCCTGAGCTACTCATGTTCTATTGCTTAGCTCCTTTAGACAGACAGTAACATCTCTGCTTAATGTTATGTCCCCCTTGCAGGGCTATTATGAGAATTTGATGGGTTAATGTATACAAAGCATTCTGGATGCCAGATCCAGCAAGCAATTATTTAGTGTTGTTATATTTTCTAAATGACATTTCAGAAAGGAACACAGGGGCCAGCATGGCTGAGCACACACACTCAGACATAAACATACTTCCACGATGGCATCGCTGAGGTGTTTCTGTTGTCGAAAAAGGATGTTAGTAGCTCCGGCAACAAAACCCCGAACGGTGACGTCAGAGAGAAGGTGATGCTGCTGTAGGGCCATGTAGGGCAAGCACAAATAACCCTATGGATCACAAGAGCACCAGAAAACATCAGGAAGGTAAAAGAAAGGCTCCTACTCTAGTCGAGCTACCAGTCACAAAAGGCGAACACTCACAAAAACACCCATCTCCCTGCCTGGCCCCAGGTGGCTCATATTTGGCTTACTCCTGCAGAACTCCAGGGCACCTTGGGTCCCCACTGCAGTGAGTCCGGTTTCTTGATTAGAAGAAATTAGCATGATTAGCTTATCTTCTGTACAAATGGCTAAATACTGGTGAGGTGGTTTAACACCAAGGGTTACTTGACCATTTCATTTCTGGTTCAATGTAGAAACCTCTACAGTAGTAAACTGGACTCTTTTTATTTAGAAAAATGTTAAGTCCCTTAAATGTACTATATATATTTTTAAAATTTTATTTATTTATTTGTGTGTGTGTGTGTGTGTGTGTGTGTGGCCAGCTCAGCCCGCCAGGGGGCGGGGCTGGCTGGCATGTGGTGCTGGGGGATTGAACCGCGGTCCCTGTGCTTTGCTAAGCTTGTTCTAAGTAGGTGCTTTAGACCACTGAACCATCTCACCAGCCCCTAAGCATTTTATTTTATTTTTTTCCAGAACCGAGGATTGAACTCAGGCCGTTGTACTTGCCAGGGAAGTGCTTATTCCACTGAGCCATCTCCCCAGCCCCTGTACTATATGTTTTTTAGCAGACAACTTAAATGCATATATCTGCACACAATTGCCAAAACATTATTACAAGAACAGCAAGGTACTGCACCATTCTGTCCTACTGTTAAAAATCATGCAAAAAAGATATTTGCTTCAATAACCGTGGATTTAGTGAATTTTCACTTGAATTGTATTTGAAACAGCACTCTTGAAAATTATAATTTAGTTGGGTGTGGTGGCATAACCCTATAATCTCAGCACTCAGGAGGCTAAGGCAGGATGATTGCCATGAGTTCGAGCCCAGTCTGGACTACATAGTGAGTTTAAGGGCAGCCTAGAATATACAGCAAAACCCTGTCTCAAATAAATAAATAAATAAATAAATAAATAGCCGGGGAGATAGCTCAGTAGAATAAGTGCTTGCATGGCAAGCGCAAGGACCCGAGTTCAATTTCTAGTTCCGCCAAAATAAATACATAAATAAATAACCAACCAACCAACTTCAGTAGGCATGGAAGTAAACAAAAGCCAAACTGAAACAAATTCACAAAAACCCCAAATACCCCAGAATACTTCCTGAGTAAAGGTGTCAATAGTAAAATGATTTCCCAAGAAAGGATATGAAACTTCTACTGAAAGATCCTATATCTGAATAGTGGCATGGCTCATGTATGAAGCCAGGAGGGCAGATTTGCTGAGCCCCTGAACTTGGTTTTAAGCCACAGCTTTTTTTTCTTTTTTAATTTTTGGCGGAACTGGGGATTGAATAAACTTGGTTTTAGCATCTACTTCTACAACAGTTTTCTTTTTCCACACCTCATCACTGAGTACAGTTGCCTAGATGATATATCTGATAATCTGATGACTTCCCGAGACAAGTCTAAGGACAGGAGCTATACCTCGAATGATTCTGGATTCTTCACTAGGAAACCCCTTTGTTGTTTGACACATGGTTGTTTAATACTTAATATGGCAGAGAAGACTCTCAGAAGTTGGAATACTGATCTAGTAACTTGATTTTATTGGTATCCTTAAGAGCTTCTTTCCAATAAAAGTAGCAAAGATAAATCAATGTCTATGCATTACAGTATCTTAATATAATGCTTCTTAACTCAGGTGTCTTGGAACTAAATACTCAAAGGATAAAATCTTGATTCTTACTGAGAACCACTCAGTTGCAACAGCTGGATTAGGGCTCATAGTTCCTATCTGACTTATGGGCTATGTATTTAAAAGCAGAAGATGACATCATCACCTGCAAATACCTTTTTCCAAACAAACTATTATAACATTGAATACTTCTTCAGACTTGATTTGGCCCCCAGAGAACATCCACTTCCCAGTTAGGAGTGAGAGTCCTTGATAAAGAAACTCTCAAGAACTGCCAATTACTACAAAAGATTTGTACTGCTGAACAGTAGGAGTAAGAGAAATTACTTGCTGACAGTGCTACATTTCTTGAAAGATTCTGTTAGCAAAGAAAAAGTATATTATCGATACCAGAATTCTTGGTTAAGTATAACAGCATCAAAACTAAGAAGTATTGTATGTTTAAAAAAAATAAGGAACTGGAAATGTAGCTCAGTGATGAAGCACTTTGCTTAGCATGTGTGGAACCTTCGGTTCAATAACCAGTACCAAACTACACTCGCGCACAAACTCCTGTAAGCACAAAGTTACAAAGTTTATCTATAAGGAATAATACGTATAAGAAAGGGGCAGAAAAATGGATATGGTCTGCTACGATTTGTGTTAACAGGGCATTTCGTGATGATACTGACCACACCTGGAGAGGACAGCCAGGCAGAACACTGAAAAAAAGAAACTGAATAAGACACTAGAAGACTGAAAAACCTCCCAGGTTCATGTATCAGTACAATACATGTAGACTACTGCAACAGAACAGAGGACGCTGAAAGAAACCCATGCAACTACAGTCATCTGATTCTTGACAAAGGAATATAAAATATACACTGGAGAAAACAACAGCATTAAAGCTGTTGGGAAAACTGAATATCCTGATATAAAAGACTGAAACGAGAGCCTTAACTTTCACCTTATACAAAAATCCATTCCAAATGTATCAGAGTTAAGACCTGAAACTGAAACCACCAGAGGAAAAAATAAGGCAATCACTTGATGTCACAGGCTTAGGTAAATAAGACTTCCCAAGTAGCATGCTAGTAACATAGGAAGTGTCTCAGTTAACTTTTTTCCTTGTTGCTGGGACAAAATACCCAACACCCAAGATTAAGGAAGGATAGGTTTATTTAGCTCAGTTAGTGGATGTTTCAGTCCATACTCGGCTGGCTCCAAGGCAGAGTTAACACATGACAGAGGGCAGCCTTTATGGTAGTGGAAGACAGCAAAGTGTAAGAGGAGGAGCAACTGCAGCAGCCAGCAAGCCTCTCTCCCCTACTCATACTGTATTCAGGCTATCTGCACCAAGGTGGGTATAGCATTGATACCCATAATCCCCACATTGAATCATGAATTAATCACAAACTCTAGAAGCTGTCCCAATGACTGCATGAGGGCAGTTGGGGGGACAAGAAGACATAAACCATAACAGGAAGTAACAGGAACAACTTAAAAAATGGGATTAGATCAAGTTAAAAAGATTCGGGGCTGGGGTGATGGCTCAGTATAATAAGTGCTTGCCTCGCAAGCGCAAGGGCCTGAGTTCAATCCCTGGTTCCACCAAAAAAAAAAAAAAAAAAAAGATTCTACACAGCAAAAGGAAACAACAGAACAGACAACTTACAGACTATGAGAAAAATCTTTGACAGCTTCCCTTCTGAAAAGAGAACTAACATTCACAATACATAGAGAACTCAGAAATCTTAATACCCAAAACCCAAATATCCCAATCAATAATTAGGCAAATGAAGAGAACACTTATCAAAAGTAGTACACATAGGTAATGAAAATCTAAGTTACTGTGGAATCTCATCTTACAGCTGACATCAAGAATATAAGCAATAGCTTTTTACCAAGATGGCGCCGAAAGCAAAGAAGGAAGCCCCTGCCCCTCCCAAAGCTGAAGCCAAAGCAAAAGCTTTGAAGGCCAAAAAGGCCGTGCTGAAAGGCATCCACAGCCACAAAAAGAAGAAGATACGAACGTCGCCCACCTTCCGCCGTCCCAAGACGCTCCGGCTCCGGAGGCAGCCCAAATACCCTCGGAAGAGCGCCCCCAGGAGAAACAAGCTTGACCACTATGCCATCATCAAGTTCCCCCTGACCACAGAGTCCTCCATGAAGAAGATTGAGGACAACAACACACTCGTGTTCATTGTGGATGTCAAAGCCAATAAGCACCAAATCAAACAGGCTGTAAAGAAGCTTTATGACATTGATGTTGCCAAGGTCAATACCCTAATCAGGCCTGATGGAGAGAAGAAGGCATATGTTCGACTGGCTCCTGATTATGATGCATTGGATGTTGCCAACAAAATTGGGATCATCTAAACTGAGTCCAGCTGGCTAATTCTAAATATATACTTTTTTCTCAGTAAAAAAAAAAAAAAAAAAAGAATATAAGCAATAAAGGGCTGGCCAGATAGCTCAATGGACTAAAATGTCTGCCTAGCCCCAGGGCGCGCTGAGATGGCAATTGAGACTGGGCATGGCGGCGCATGCTTCTAATCCCAGCTTTTGGGAGGATGAACAAGTCTGATCTACATAGTGAGATCCTGTAGACCCTATCCTAAAAAAAAAAAAAAAAAAAAAAAAAAAAAAAAAAAAAAAAAAAAATATAAACAATAAGAGCCAGTAAGGATATGGGGAAAAGAAACCCTTCCTTCTACAGGTTGGTAAGAAAGTAAATTAGTGCAACCACGATAGAAGTCATCATGGAGATACTTCAAAAAAGGTAAAACTAGAACTACTATTCTTCCTTGTTACACACCTAAAGGAATTAAAGTCATCTGTAGAGGGCCATGGTGATGGCTCAGTAGAATAAGTGCTTGCCTGGCAAGCACAAGAGCCTGAGTTCAATCCCTGGTTCCGGGGGAGGAAAAAAAAAAAAAAAAAAAAGAGAAGTCATTTGTAGGGATACCTTGCATAATTTTGTTTATTGTGACCTAAATGCCCATCAACAAATGAATGCTGAAAGAAAATGTGTTTTGTTGTTTTTTTTTTAAATGTTTTTGCAGTACCAGGGAATGAACTCAGGACCCTATGCTTGCCAGGCAGGTGCTTATTCTACTGAGCTATGTCCCCAGCCTGAAAATTTGGTTTAGACATATAATAGGACAGTGTACTTGCCAGGTGGGTGCTGTGCTGCTAAGCTACATTCCCACCCCTCCCCTAACATGTGGAGCTTAAAAAAAAAATGTAAGTGGGGGAAAAAGAAAGCTTCCTCCCACTTCTTAATTAGGATACGTGCTGTCAAAAGAAGTATTTTTTCCCCTCTTTTTTGTGGAAGGGTCTTGTTATGTTGCCCAGGCAAATCTTGAATTTCTGAGCTCAAGCAATCCTCCCTCCTCCACCTTCAGTGTAGCTGGGAATACAGATTACAACTGTAGTATTTTAATAGATATTTATTAGGTGCTATCAAGACTATCTGGATTTCCTCAATTCATTCTTTTTTCAAAGAGAAATCTGAGTACTTCAGAACAGACCCAACACAGTGATTGTTGATTTTATATACACTAAATTTCAAAATTTTTTCCAATCAAAACCTTCAGTATTACTTCCATACAGCTTTACATTATCATAGATGTCACACCAATATACATGTAGTATTAAAAATATGTTGAACACTGAAAGTTAAATTCTTTTTTGTTTTGTTTTGTTTGTTTGTCTTGGCAGAGCCGGGGACTGAACTCAGGCCCTTGCGCTGGCAAGCGCTTATTCTATTGAGCCATCTCCCCTGCCCTGAAAGTTAAATTCTTTAAGTCCTCAATACAGGACATAACACCTTACCTTTGTGAAGATGGCCAGGGGCATACCATACTGGTCCTCTTCCAAACCTGAAATGAGTCCTGGTATGAGTACCACCTGCCCTGTGTTAGCTTGAGGTTGTACAGTAATTGGAAGACTGTCTGAGGGCACAGAGTCTTTTGAAAATAAATCTGTCTGGTCTGACCCCACCTGTTCCCTTTCTTTTGAGTTGGGGTCTTCTAAGATACTAGGATCCAAAGTTTCCCAGTCACTTTCTGAAGACTCTGGAGATGGACGAGAAGGAGGTTTCAAATATTGAGTGGCATCAAGTTCTTGTCTTTTGCTGTGATCATCTTCTCTATGGAGCAAAGGCTTTTCAGTCTTGAAGGCAGCATCTCCCCCATGGTTTCCTATTGTGGTACTCTTGACAGCTCCTAGATTGGCCTTTGAAGAGTCAGCAACAGACCCAGAGAGAGAGTCCTGTGTAGCAGCATTACTATCTGGAAGCCCAATATCTTCAGACATGCTTTTGCGAGGTTTGTACTGTGAACAGTCACGGAGACCATGTTCAATCATGCCTGAAACACACAATATTGGAGGGTGGCCCGGCTTATGAAAATACAGAGGAAAACAAGAACTGTATATTTTGTTTTATATAGTGTATCTCTAAGAACTTTCAAAGGTACACATTTTAGTAAAATTTAAAGAACACCCAGAGTTTGATAAGCTGTGGGTGCAGAGAGTGGACCCCAGAGAGCCATGAACAGCCCCACTGCTGCTACTGGCCCCAGTCACTATCACCCCAAACATGAGCAGCACAGGTGAGACCCAGCTGCTTGCTGCCCTGTCCCGGCCCTCAGTGTTGTTGATACCAAGTCCTGCACCTCAAGCAGCAGTGCAGGGAGCTGCAGCCCGGGTGGCCTCACATTGGCAGCACCTGCCTGTGGGGACAAGAAGGTCACCACAATAAAGGTTTTAGAAACAGTAAAATGGGTTCAATATAAGAAATGATATGGTTTCATCAAAGGAATGACACCAAGGAAGATGTATTTGTACACCAGATTGTCATAAAGAAGAATAACCCCAGGAAGTATTTTCAGTGTAGGAGATTGGGAAACTGTGGAATTTGATGTTGTTGAACGAGAAAAGGATGTGGAGGCAGCAAATGTTACAGGCCCTGGTGGAGTTCCAGTTCAAGGCAGTGAATACGCAGCAGATTGTAACCATTATAGATGCTATCCACATTGTAGGGGTCCTCCAAACAATTTCCAGCAGAATTACCACAATAGTTACAGTGAGGAAAAGGCTGAGGGATTGAAGAGTGCTCCCAAAGGCCAGGCCAAACAATGCCAGCTCTACTGTAGGTGAAGGTTCCCACCTTACTACATAGGGAGACTCTATGAGCGTCGACCACAGTGCAAGGAGTGATGGAAGGTGCTGACAACCAGGGTGCAGGAGAACAAAATAGACAAGTGAGACAGAATGAGTATCAAGGTTATAGACCACAATTTTGCAGGGGCCTTCCTCCCCAAAGACAGCCTAGAGGATGGCAATGAAGAAGATAAGGAAAACTGAAGAGGTGAGACCCAAAGTCAGCAGTCACCTCAACTTTCACCCTGTACTGTGGCGTGGCAACTTCAATTATCAAAAGAGAGGCCCAGAAAATCCTAAACCACAAGGTGGCAAAGAGACAAAAGCAGCCCATCCATCAGATGAGAACTGGTCTTGAGGATCAGCAACATGGGACTGAGTAAATTCCAGCTTAACATCTCTACCCTCATCTGGTTTAGTCATCCAGCAAGAAAAATGAATAGGAAATCCCAGCATTAAGAAATGAACAAAAGGAAAAAAAAAAAAAAAAAAGAAAGAAAAAAAAGAAAGAAAAGAAATGAACAAAACATTGGAATTGAAGACTATAAATGCTTGCTTTTTGCCCACTGACCAGATAACTACAACTATCTGCATTATCTATGCAGCATGGATTTTTTTTATTATTTTCACCTAAAGACATCTCATTTTGGTAATGACAAACATTTTTTTTTAAAAGTCTGGTTTTTCTCAATACACTTGTAAAAACTTTTAAATTGTTTCATATCTGGTCAAGTTGAAATTTTTAAAAATTTCATTTTTAATTTGCAATAAAAGTTTACAATTTACTTTTTCAAAAAAGCAACAACAAAAAGTGAAAAATAAAGAACACCTAGACAAAAGAGAAAAAGCTACTGCCAAAAGGAACACGTGTTATTAAAATAGAAATGTTAGCCCAAGTATAAATTTAAGTAAAAGAACAAATAGATACTGCTTGTCTTACCTGGAAAAAGGGATAACACAGTCATCAGTGCACCCACTAATTTATTCACTGGAGAAATATAAAAAAGAACCTGGAAGAGATTCAATCAAAATTAAATTAGACAAAAAGAAAAAAACTTAAATTAGACAATCTTTGAGAATTTAAGAATACACAAAGAAAAAACAGTAGGTTCTTTGTGGAAGAGTATCAGTTAATAAATATACAAATAATAAAAAAGATCATGACTCGGGTAATAATTACCAATGGCAACTAAAACTGAAAGATTATTGAGCCTATTAATTTGATAATCACCACCTCTTCAACCAAATGGTCAAACTGCATCACCAAAAAATAGCACAAATGGTGCTGAGCCTTCTGATGTCATATCCTGAGGA